AGTGTAGTGGTCTTTCACAGGAATACCAACGCGTATTCCGCAGTTCAGAACTTCTAAATAAAAAGATTTGGGAAACACCTTCTTTTTCTTAAATTAAGTGCCTCGGTTCTGAACTGAACGTTACTTGACTGGCGCTGAGAGGAAAAAAAGATGTCGTGAGCACAGAGCGACGGGGCTGAAGAGTTTGGTTTTACAGCATTTGGCTGGCAGGGGAACCGCTCAGGCTAACCGGAGCGGCGAGCAGCCAGCCCGATCCTAGGCCACGCGTGGCGGCGAGGAGCTGAGCCCGCGGGACGGAGGTGGCCCCTCCAGGCAGGTTCTGGAGCCGCAGTGGCACGGTTGTGCTGCGGATGGGGCTGGCTGGGGCTGCTCAGAGGGAGCTGGAGCAGATGAGGAGCGTGCAGAGCCGGGTGGCACGCAGCCGGGTGCTTGGTGAACCCTTTTAAAGCACAAACTTGGCTTCCTTGGGCTGCTTTGATCTCCTCCTTTCTCTTTTGCGAGTTAAGTTTCTGTGACCTTCATTCAGGAGCATCCGTAACGTTGAATTTTGAGTTCCTGGGATGGTCTGGACTTTCTGAAGGTGCCTTTTCACTGCCAGGGCAGGGAACTGGAGCTCTTGACCAGGTGTTGTGAGACACTGTGGTCAGATGTTTGAAAGCAGGCAGCAGCTTTTCACTCAGCATGTTCGGGGCTGCCTGAAAAATAAGGTGCAGGACTGGATCGTGTTAGAAGTCGTGAAGCTGTCGGGAGGATTAGCTGACGTGCTTTGTATTTTAGACTTAAAAATATAACGTGCATGTAGTGATTGGGAATTGATCGCTCCACAGCGTGCATGGTGGAGTTCTGTTTTCCTTTTAGCTCAAAAAACTGGCTGCAGTGAGGGAGTGGTGAAAGGCTCGTGCTACTTTTCGTTTAATTTTCATTAATGTTTGGTGTAGGTCTTGTTCTTCCCTGGCAGCCAAGGCCGGTGTGCTGCTAACAGTCGGTAATTAAGGTGCGTTGGCCATTAGTGTTATTAGCTGCATTGTGAAAAATGTAATTGGGAACGACTTGCTGTGCCCGCTTTGGGTGTTGGTCAGGTGGGTACACGTTCCTGATACAATGTGTTAGTAATTTACTGGGAAAACCGAGATCTGTGCATTTCAGGTGGGTGAAACACTGCTCTAGCTGTCACTAGTGATGTCCCCTAGCCAGAAAACCAGGACTGGCGAAGCACTGAGTATTGTTGGCACTTTTTTAGCAGGTGAGGCTTCCTCCTTCCCTCTAGGTGACAAACCCCCTAAACTGTCCTTGTTCATGCAGAGCGATGGACACCATCAATGCAGGTGAGGGTGGTACTGTGCTCGCTTCACCGAGGGGCGAAGGAGGCACTCCTGGTCCTGGGGTGCATGTACTGGCTGCCTTCAGTGAAGTGACTCTCTCGTGACTGTGAAAGTCAATGTGTGTTTTGAGAATCACCTGGGATGTTCAGAGCACCCAAGTGTTGTTACGTGGTACCCTGCAGTCGGCTCCAGAGGAGTTCCACATGTTGGTTTTCTCAGCTTTCTCTCTTTTTTGGTTTGCTTGGCTTTGCCTCACAGCCCCAGTGAGCCTGGAGAAGGTGACGGGTGACTCTGCTGGCGTGGTCTGAGGCCACTGCGGATGCGTTTCCCTACCTGTGTGCCCCTCACCAGCACAAGGCTTCTCTCTGCCAGCCTCCTGTAGGTTTGCTGACCTTCCCTTTTTTCCCTCTGCTTACATTTCCACTTCTGGAAAACATTCAGATTCTCACCTCACAGGTTTTATTAAATTCTCTTCTAGAGTTTTCACTTGGATTCCCCCTGAGAGAGTCAGTCTGCTCTGAGAAACCTGTCACAAGCTTGGTGTTAAGGTTTTGGTTGCGGGATAATTTGAGTTGCTATGAAAATAGAATATTTTAAAAGAAGCTCTAGAGCGCTTTAATTTTTGTTGGCTTAATTGAATCTATTAAATGTAATTAGACTGTTACAATAAGAAAAATATGCTTTACCATCCTTTTAAAATGAGACAAATGCTTCGGCGGTCAATTTTGAGGAATTGCTGGAGGAGAATCTTCGATCTGCACTTACCAAAAAGTCGTGTAAACTAGAGGGGAGCTCTGCCGAGGAGGACAGCTTTGTCAGCGCGCGGATGCCAGCGAGTGTTCCCAACCTTTGTAACTCTGTAAAGCTTTGACCTCCTCACGAAAGTTCCCGATAGCAGCTGGGAGGATCGTTCCGCAGCCAATCAGACGGGCTGGGTGGCTGTTTGCCTCGGTTAAATAAGCAAAAATTTATATTTTGGCCTTGCTGGGGCACAGCACGCTGTGCTTTCGAAAAGCTCATGGAAATTAGGGACTGTTCATCCTCTCGGAGCCCGTGGTGTCTTGCTGTTGGGATGCACGACGTCAGGGCTGGGTCTTGCCGAGTTGCATTCCGTGTCGTGAAGTGTTTCCAGGGCAAAGAGGAAGTGGCCCGCGCTCCCGTTCCAGCGGTGTGTTTCAGCCGCTGCTTTGATAGGTCCATTCCTCGCTTCATCAGCCCGGATCGTGTTGGTTCCTGAGCATTTTTCACTTGGGCCTGTGACTTCTGAGTTTCCAGGGTGTTTGTAAAGTGGGTGACATCATCTGTCATACTCAGAGTTGCACTTTACTACTGGTCACCTCCAGAAGCGTAGTGATCTCCCTGAAGTGTTTCAATTTCACTTTATCCTACTTATTCCTCAAAATTACTTTAAGCTTGAGCTCAACGCTCACCTCAAAGACGTATGGTAGGGAGGCAGTGTTTATTTTTATGAAATAACGAATCATCTCCTGGATGTTTTTACTTTGAGGAAAAGTAGATCCGAGGAAGTGGGACCTGCTGGTGTTGGATCGTGCCCACGCTGACGGGCTGCTGCGGTGCGGCAGTGACCAGCAGTTGAGCTGAGTCGAGTTTTGAACTTGCTGAACTGCATCGCCCTAACTGTCTTTTTCTCCTTTCTGCTTCCAGCTATATTCTTCTGCTAAGAAAGGGGGAAAGCTCCACTGCTGTGTGGATGAAATCAGTTGTGCGTGGGGGATTTTGAATCTCGGAGGGCCTCGCAAAAATTATCTTTGTTTCGCCTTCTGTCATGATTGTCTCGAACTTCTCCAGTGTTTGAAGGCTTTTTGTTACTGGATTTGGGCTTGTCCTTGTAGCAGATAGCTTTGGAACTAGATGTGACCTTGGCAGAGGAATTATCTCTAAACCTATTGCAACTGCTTCCTTATCCTTTTGCTTTCTGTTTGAGGCCTGGTAGTAAGCCACTCCTTCATTTCAGAATCCAGGAGCCTGGCCTCTGAAATATCAAGCTTCCTTATTTGCGAATTTTTCAGATATAAGCTAGGATTAATGGCTTTTGACTTTTTAATTTAAGCAAATGATGTGAGTGAAGTAGACTGTCATTCAGTGTCTGAAGGAACCTGTTTTGAGGAAACTGTATTAGTAGCTTGTAGGGTGTTGGGAATTCTTGGGAGGAGAAGTTTTGCAAAAGCATAATTTTCCTGTCTGTTTAGAAGGAGTTAGTTTTATCACGGCAGAGCAAAAGCCATTGCGATGCTTCTCCTCTGTGCTGTTGCTGGATGGTTGGACCCCTTACCCAAATGCCTCTGAGCTTGTGAGCAGCTCTCAGAAAGGGGCCATGAAGGCACCATCTTCTGCTGTAGGGATGTTTGTGCCAGGTTCCAGGCTGGAATCCAGCATTTCTCTTGGTCGTCTCGCTCTTTACCCTCCTACTCTGATTATGGTCCGTGTTGCCCAGTCTCAGAGTGAGACAGGCCTGCTGCCCCTCTCCCAGCATGCCGTGGTGGTGTCTGTGTTCATCTTGGCACTTCAGAAACTTCAACGGCCGAGGTTTTTGTAATCCTACAGTTTAGGGAAATCCTGGGTGTACGTCGATGTGTAGGAGATGTAGGTGAATTCGTGGGGAAATCAGGTGGTGCTCCGGTGAGTTCCTGAGGAATCCTGGCATAGCATAAGTGATGCTGGGTCAGTACAGATGTCACTAATTCAGTAAGTCGTTAGTTTCTTCTCCTTGAAATGTGTTTTTTTACCTTCCTTTCTAGGAAGGGGTCTGGAGGAGGGAAAATTTCTCTTTCTGGTGAAAGGGGACTGGAGCGTTATGACAGTCAAGTCTTTAAAAGCTTGAGTTCCCAGAGTCCCTGACGGCTAGCCGCTTCCTCTGCGATGTTGTCGGATGCCAGTAAAGAGAGGTTGGAGGCAACACTTCTAATGGAGGTAGAAACGAAATACTTGGAAAATACCAAGGATTCTCCTGTTTTAATTAATGAAAAATCACATAGGTGCTTAATAGCTGGTTAGACACTTGAGATGTGGAACTCTAATCACTAAATTCACCTGTATTGTCTGGCTTGCTCTAAAGAATCTTTGGATTGTTTTTCCTAATAAAAACGTTTTGGTCTCTTTAGCAGGTAACGTCGAAAGGTGCTGGCTTGAACCCTAATGCCAAAGTGTGGCAAGAAGTACCCCAGGGGAGCGGCGAGGCTGTGCCACCCACAAATGGCGCAGAGCACTCGTGGCAGGAACCAGCGGCTGCGCCAGGGCCCGAGGGTGAGATGTGGCGGGTGGAGCGCGCGCCGCGCCGTGTCCCTTGCCGGGCGGCGCCGAGGGAGCTCAGCGCCGGGAAGCAGCCTCTTGCTCTTGTCCTCGAGGTCGGCAGTGCTGAGGTAGCAACAAGTACGAAATGAGCGTGAGGAGGCTGTAGACAGCTTACTGAGATCATAGGTCCGACCTACTCCGGTTTCGGGATTCAGGAAGGCAGCCGGAGCCGCGCTGGGGCAGGCCACTTCAGCAGGTGGCAGGATCCGAGGGGCCCAGTGATGACTGAGTAACGCGCTAAGAGGGAGACGGGGTGCTAAATGTGCAGAAACGGGTCCGTTCACCGTCGCTGCACTTCAGCATGCACTTGACCCTGTGAACAGGAAGATGAGATCTGAGGGCCACCTGCGATCCTGGTAGATCACTGGGGTGCTGCTGAGAACCGTTAGGCAGCAGCGTTTGTACTGGAGTGGCAACTGCAAAGCATCTCTGGCGAGCTCCTGCCAGTTTAGTCTGTTCCGTTTCAGTCCCTGTTTTCCATCGTTACCCTATGGTCGGTCCTGGTGTCCAGAACTAAATTTCCAAATGGTTCAACTCTTCTGGTTTGACTTAGGCTTGGTATGGAGCCAGTTGTAAAGCTGGAGTTACTCAGAGTACAGCAGAGGCCTGTGAATTAGGAAGCAGAAGATTCTCGGGAAAACAGGAGATAAAGAAGGGAGGATTCAGTTTGTGTAGCCCTGTCAGAAGTTTCTGGTAAGTCAGCAGAAGTGGAGAGAGAGAGAACTGAGTTAGTGCGTTGGCTGAGAGAAGCTGCTTTGTCTCTTGGTGACAATGTGCAGCCATCGTGGCAGAGTTACGCCGCTGGAAAAGTACAGGCCATTTTTCCATATTGCTTGCTTTTATGCAATTTCCAATGTAAATAGTTGAATATTATCTCGTCTCAAAGTGTGTTTTTTAGTGGATTGATCAGTAGTGTGGGAAAGATCCAGCAGAGCAGCGGATTTTTTGGAACAATCTCCTTTGCCTGACAGTCAGATTGAACTGAAGTTGTGCCTGGTTCTGTCTCAAGCAGCTGCAGTTCTGTGTCCTGAAGAAGAGAGTGGCCGATGTCAGTGTCCTCTCACTGTGGTTTATAACAGTTGCTCGGTGCTCCTGAGCCCTTTGCGCACACAAGAATTACGTAATGTCTGGAAGAAGTGATGTAAACTGTTTTAGCACTTTGTTTTTAGGAACCTCATTTAAATATTTTAAATTTCAGATGGAAAGCCTGTTTTTCGCATCCTCTACCACTTTTGAGGATCTTACAGTTTCACTGTCTTACTGTTTGCTTATCACTGAGACCCTAGTGCAACCCAGAAGGTCTTTCTGAAATTAGAGAAGCAGAAAGCACTGCCTGATACAAAGCAGAAGCTGAAAGTCCAAGAAACAATCACTAAGTTGAGACACTTTCGGTCACAGCGTTCTTGAGTATTTGTTTTAGTGTCGGTCGTCAAAATTTTTCGAATGGAAAACATTCTGAAGCTCACAGTAGGTTTTCTGTTGGTGGTGTTTCCTGTGCCAGGTAACGTGGAGATCTCGGAGGACAGCTGCAAGCACTATGAAGTGATGTATTCTCCGCCTTGTGACGCCGCGAGAAATGGCACAGGAGTTGATGAAGCGTCTGCAAATGGAATCGTCCTCGCAGCTGAAGATCTCGGGTACCAAATCTATGAAGTCTCTGGTGAGTATTCAAGTTGGAATGCCTCTGTCAGTACCTGGAATCCTCTGAAGTCTGCTGCAGTTGTGGTGTGACTGAGTAGGAACTTGGGAACGTTTCGTGTGCGTTCAAGGGGGTTTGAGCCAGCCGTAGAGCTTGGACAAGCAGCTGAAGACCACGGGGTCGAAGTCACCCTGAGAACGTGCAGCACCGCGGTCTTTACGTATTTTGTGGCCTTTTCCTCTTGGTCTTTCCCAGAAGGATTCATTAGAATCATAGAATCATCTGGTTGGAATTCTTTTATTGTACAACGAAACACGTTCTTGCATTGTACGTTACCATGAAACTGAGCTCTGATGGTGGATGTGGTAACTTTTAGGTGACGGCAGCCCCGCGGTGTCCACGGAAGACATAAGAGAATGTTTGAGAAAACAACTTGAATTCTGCTTCTCACGGTACAGTGCAGTTAACTCGGCTTCCTACAAACCCTTTGTTAGTCGTTGACAAATTGTTCCTTTTTTAGGCTCGATATGTGCTGTCATCTGCATAACCATGTTAGCTGTGAGGGAGAGGTGGTTGCCATACGAAACAAGATTTGCTAAAATGCTGTAGAGACCCTGTGGTACCTTCCAGCTGTTCCAGTCCTATCCGTGCATCCTCATCCTTTAACGAGGATGGAGTGTGACTTCGGTGCTTCACGGCAGTGAGATGGCGAGATAATTCAGCTGTCTGGTACCAGAAGAGGTCTCTGGCAAGAGCCTTTTTGCAGCCTAACGTGCAGAGCACTGTAACTTTCGTTAAGTTCTTTATTTTCTGTAGCTTTCATTAAGTTTTTTATTTTCTGTAACTTTCGTTAAATTTTTTGTTTTGTTTTAATTTATATTTTTTTGGTTACATTTTTTATTTTAGTTATCTTATTCTGCTTTGTTTTGATCTGCTGAGACTTTTTGCAGGAGAGAAAACCTGAATATGTTTTGGCTAGAGTTAGCTGTGCATTAGTGAATATTTAAGCCTGTTTAATTAGTGAATGTTTATATCCTGTTGTTTTGAGGCTTCTGTAAATCAAGTTGAGGATTTTTATAAAATAGTGAACTTGTGTCTTTTTAGTGAGAATCTTTCCAAGGATCTCTACTTGATGTCTCAGATGGACAGTGATCAGTTTGTTCCCATATGGACGATTGCCAACATGGAAGGTATTAAGAAGCTGACGACTGATATGGACCTTATTCTTGAAGTTTTGAGATGTAAGTCTGGGTGTTGGGTGTCTGTATGAGCAGAATAAAGAATTCCTCCTTGCTCCAGAGAAACGTGTTTAGTCTCTCAGCTGGTTATAGCATGTCGTTCTGGTAAATGGTGTCGGGAACCTCATTCTGTGGAGAAGTTGGAGTAAGTGGCTGTTCCAGACACGCTTTGTGATAAACTGCCTACATGTGCCCAAGTAAGAGGCTACTCTAAGATGTTGCTAGCAGTGGAAGTCTTACTCTGGGAGTAAACCTAGTCTTGTGATTCAGTGCAAGAGCTTACTAGAGTGATAAAACTGGAAAAAGCTTATCAGAAAAAATTAGCTAGAATTCTGCTGTGCCGTCCTGTGCCGATTCTGCACGTGGCTTCTTGTGGAGACAGTTGTAAGTGAACTTTTAAAGTCTTATTCTGACTTGGTTTTCCTACTCTTATTTGAATTTTTCCTGTTAGGGCTCTGTCTGGGAATGGTGTGATATCCTCTTACTTGAGCGTGAGCTGGGAGAGAATTGAGTTTGGGAGTGAGCTTTTCCGATACCTGAGCTGTAGATGGAGGCAACGTGAGACAAGGAGCTAAAACGTGCAGAAAATCTGACAGACTGTAGCTGATAAACCAGTCCTTTCCCCTGAATTCAGGAAATTTAGTTTCTTAAGCAGTCCTGGGTTAACGGAGTCTCTTACTGCAGAGATGTTTTGCAGTGCACCATGTCCAATATTAAGCCAACTTTTATATTTTAATTTTAGCTTCTCCTATGGTACAAGTGGATGAGAGAGGGGAGAAGGTCAGACCAAACCACAAACGATGTATTATCATTCTCCGCGAGATCCCTGAAACGACACCTATAGAGGTAAATAAATGGAAAAGAAAGAAGGAAAAGCCTGTTGATGTTTCGGGACGTGTCTTCAACAGTGCTTTACACAGCAACAGGAAGTGTGGCTTAAAAGGTCCACCGGGATTTAATTCAATTAAACACAGATATTTTTCTTGTAAACCACATAATTTTTTCTGCCTGGCTGTACTGTCAAAAAAGTCAAAGCCAAAATTGGTTGTCGTTGTTGTCCCTTCCCAATATTTACTAATGTTTTAAAATGTTCTTAAAAGTAAACTTTTTTCCATCAAAAATTGAGCTAGCTAGGCTTTTCTGCAAGGAAGTTTGTACTGGTCTCTTTTCAGATCCAAAAATGAAATCAGTCCAGGGCATAGCTTGGAATTCAGGCTGAATTTTTGTCACAGCAGTAACTTTACTTGAAGTCAGACGGTTGTTTGGCAGCAAGAAATGTTACTAAACATTTCTCATTCATCGTGACCCAGTGTGAGCCGAGCTCATTATGCTCAGAGGAGGGAGGATAATAAAAT